ATTTTAGTAAATTGACCGAAATTGTTCCCTTAAAACGAGCCTCCGCGAAATTAGTTACTGATTCTATTTTAAATAAATATATTTTAAAGTACAGGGCGCCCCTAAAAGTTATATCGGATAATGGTCCTCAATTTGTAAGTAATATATTTGAAGACATGTGCCAAAAAAACTGGGCATACGTCATTTAAAAATGGTCCCGTATCGGCCGCAATCAAATATAGCGGAACGGGTCAATAGAAATATAGTGAAAATTATCCGTAGTTATGTTAAAAATTTTCATAAAAGCTGGGATAACTATGTCAATGAATTTGCTTTCGCCCTTAGGACCGCAAAACATGATACAACGGGAAAAACTCCTGCTGAGTTATTTCTAGGCAGAAAGATTATAACACCGTTAGATAAATTATTTTATGTGCAACAAAGAGCCCCAGAATTTAAAATGGGTAATATGGAAAAACTAATATAAGAAGCAAAAAAGAATACGGAAGTAGCACAAAGAAAACAGAAGCTCTATTATGATTTGAAACGACGGGGAGTAACTTATAAAGTAGGGGATGAAGTTTTAAAAATTAAGCATTCACTTTCTTCAGCACCAGAAGATAAAACTGCCAAATTTTTTCCACGATTTGAAGGACCATATGTATAGAAAAAATAACTCACGCTGTTGTAGTGTTAAAAGCCAGAAATGGTGAAACCTGTTCCGCAAACATTGATCAAATCAAGCCCTACTTCGATCGTAATAAAATGCAAATCTTTTCAGATCTTTTGCAGGATCCGGCACGGCAGACACCGCAGGTACAAGCTCCAGAGGTGGAAAAACGACAAGTACAAGGGCAAGCCAATGAGAGACAGAAGCAAGTGAAAAGAAAATTGCCCCGCGGAAAAATTGAAGGTAACAAGAAAAAGAAGCCGTTCCACCGTCCAGAAAAGAGAGTTCACGAACACCCCCAGAATGAAGAAGGGAGAAGGACGACGTATGTGAAGAGAACCAGGAGAAATGACGGCAACTATAACCCGGCTTTAAAACGGAAGATCTACTCATCCGACAGAACTCTCCGCAGCAAAAGTCGCCGAACTGCGGAAGGGCCATCAGCGGCGGAGGAAAAGTTACAAGGAAAATTTGAACATCCAACAACGAGGTCCAAGCAGGAACACGACAGAAGTTTCCCGGTTCCGCCAAGACCAGCTGCCATCAAACGGCCAAGACCACAAGCAGAGGAGAAAAAGAAGGTATTCAAGGGTGGCCGAACTGGTGAAAAACGGAAGCTTCCAGAGGAAAGCACTGAAGGGCGAGCCCGTACAAGAAGGAGGATCAACCAAGCTACTATCTCCTATACCTTTAAAGACTGGGCCCAGAAAAGGATGTCTGAATATTACAAAGATAAGTAAAATTTTATGTTACTTTACAAACTTAAGTTAATCTTTCATTCTTACTGCAAGTGCCAGATTTCAAGAAGTTTTACCTCATGCGAGGTCTACCTTTATCGCCAAAAGGGCGAGAAATGAGTTGTGACCGATTTTCGTATTATGTTTTTCAATTACTCGCGCGTAAAACTAAAGTTGATGTATAATAGCGTTGTGTAAAGACTTAAATATTGTAAAAAGTTATTGTTTAAATTTTATTTAAAACATTCTAGCAAGAGAGAAGTTTTAGTCTGAAAGACTTTTTGAAATATATTATTTCAATGTAGAAAGAATTGGCACTTGCTTTGAAAAGAATACAAGTTAACAAGGTACTACTAATGTATGTTTTCAAATGTGTAAAATTAACAGCATGTTGATATGTTCTTATATACAATGTGAACTGTTATTTTAAATGTTAAGAAATACCGTGATATGGTAAAAGTGAAAGTAATGTTAAAAATTTGTTATTCGTGTGACTGTAAAGACTAAATCATGGCGAATATGTGTTAAAGGTTGAATGATGTAGTTAGGCTCTCTGACGCTACACTTTAGAGTTAGCCACTTTTAGAATAGTACCTCAGGGTTTAGAGTTGAAATTAGGGTGTGTTAAGAGGTCTCGTTATGTTGAATTTTAACACGTTAGTGTTTTGATTGTAGGAGGAAGTGTGGCACACGTAGACAGAAACACATTCGTGGTTGGTGTTCTTTTACAACATATGTCAGAGAGCACGAGGAGAGATAATTAAAATAGTCATGAATGAAATAAGAATGTTAAGAGAAGTATAATTGTATATGTTACTTGCCATTTCATTGTGTAACATTTCATTAAACTAGTTTTCCTTCCAGATCTCTGGAAGGAACCAGAATTGAATAAAAGCTCCTGTTTAGATGCAGTACAGATGAAAAAAAAATTTTTGTATCCTGGGAGCTGCTATTGTAACAAATTTCTTTCTTTTAAATTTCTAGTTTCTAGCGAAGTTATGTTTGTAAAAGATTGGCCTCGCGTTAGATTCTAGAGCTAAAAGTTTTCAACAAGGTCGTTTTAGACCTCAGTTTCAAACTATTTAACTCTGGCGGGAAGTATGTAAGGATCTTAAGTTTTACTAACGTTTATTTTATTTTAAATCTTTACTATCACTTCTTATTTTCTACTTCCGGCCAGAATTATAAGCGTGAAGGTTTTTATGCAAAGTTTGTCTGGCGAACGCCAAGTATTTAAGTTGTGGCCTTTTGCCAAGCGAGAGAGAGGAAGCAGTGAGTCAACGCAGGCCGCTTACCTTAGAAGTTACGTAGTTGCTGTTTGCCTTCCAGGCCAGAGGTTTTAATCCTCTTGATAAATTAAACGTATTGTAGTGTTCACAGTCTCTGTGCTACATACGCTTCCTGTTATTATAAGGCCAATCTTCCACGTGTATTATTCTAAAGTTAAATTAGAGTTTAGTTTTATTTTTATACTTTTACGTTAGACCCCAAGTGGCGGGTCAGTGTATTCCGAAGTACGGAAGTTATTGTATATAGAGAAAAATAAAGGGTTTTGTATACCCTTCGTCTGTATCCTGTCTACTTACCACAATTAGTGAACATAGCTTTAGTAAGCTCTCTGTTCCGAGTCAGGTCCTTGTATGTTCCCGAAGAAGGTTAGAAGGAACATTCACCCTGATAACTTGAGCTCTTTCAACTTTTCTTCTCTCATTAATCCTTCGTAATTGTTATACTTCGATTTGTGTTGTTCGTAATGACGTTTAATATTATATAACTTTGGTACTTTAATAGTATTATTACATATCAAGCAGATTATTTTATCTTTTATTTCACAGCAAAAATATTCTAATTTCCATTTTACTTGGAATATTCTATGTTCGTCAGCGATTTTTCGTTTAATTTTACTACCACTTGGTTTTGATATAGACATACTGAATACAAAGTGCTGGAATAAACACGGTTAACTTTAAAAAGTTAACAAAAATTTATTCTTTCCACAAGAGATAAATCAAAATGCTGAAATATTTCTTCAAAAATATTGTAACAATATCACAAAATGTCAAACGTTTAGCAAAAATCAATTCAAAACAGAGAAACTAATTCTATCTCACAGAGAAATCGCTACAAATCAATCACAGCATCAAGTAAACAAACAGTTCGCTAGAACTACAGCTACTACTGAGATGAGTTGTTTGTTCTCGGCTTTTATAAGCTTTATAATTAATTTCTCGAATATACTGGAAACATCTATAAATATCTGGATTTTTGAAGATGGCAACAGCAATTACGAGATATTTATTTATTAGGTATTAAATGCACGCGCTGTTCTATTTTTAACCTTCCAAAGCAGCTGTCTTTTCAAAAATCGTCTGCGTTGCTAAGGCAACATGAAGCAAATCTAATTACAATTCTAAATTTAAAAAAAAAAAAAAAAAAAAAAAAAAACTAAATAAATAACTATGAAATCCGTAACAATATGAATTAAGTAATAATTAATAATAAAGCAAAGTGCATGCACATTCATGCACCAATATATCGTACAAAACTATGATTGGAAAACTGAGACCATGAGTTCGGCCACATTCGGCTATCGGGGGATGCGTACAAGTTCTGAGTGCACGTGTCCCCCAAAAGCCGAAGGTAGCTGAACGCAAGCTACTGACACGCATTTGTAATTTAAGTAGTGTGTGTGTCAGCTCGCTGTGAGTAATCTGACAACACTGAATAAATTATCGTTAATTACTTAGCAGTAAACATTTCATTTTTTTCTTCGTCTATATGTTATTTTATTATTATATATTATTATTTGCCGATATATTGGCCGGGCCGCAAAAATATTTGTTGCGGGCCGCGAGTTTGACATCCTTGCTCTACAATTTTTGGCCTAACTTCATTTGCCAGTTTTGCATCATCATTCTTACTGGAGTAAAAGACGAAACAACTTCGCATCTATTAATTATTTTTCATTGAACGGGAGTTGGTTTGTTCCCCTTGAAAAAGTCAACTTATTTCCAATCAATAACGATAATTACTTGTTTTTTTATTTTTAAAATTTTTTAATTTCTTTTTTCAAAGTTTGAACTTTTGTAATTCATGATTTAAATTCAAGTTCCCTTAAAAAGTTTTCATGATTTACATTCAAGTTCCTTCAAAAAACAATTTTCAGAATTTAGCTTCATAATTATAGGTTCCCTCATTTTGATACATTCTACTAAATTTATATTAGGAGATAACATAATCAATAAATATTTCATTAGTAAATAAATTATTATTTTCTTATTTTGCAGCTATTGCGCAAGTAATAGAAAAACTTGCTTTCGAATTCAATATATATATATATATATATATATATTAAACACTTTCATTTCAGATAGAAGAGAATATACTAATCTGAATTATTTCCGAAATCCGAAAGGGAAGAAAATTATTTTTCTTTGTTATTGGAAACTGTGCAAAATTTCAGCTTTAAATTTGCGCACATGAGTTTTACGTAATTTCTGGAGTTTGACTTACTATATTTTTGCCACAGTATTGTTCCCATTAATTTTAAAATTGAATTTGAAGATAAATTCCTTCATGTTTTAGTTTTTGTATGTAAAAGACACTGATTCATATTTCATGGAAAAACATCAATATTTATTTTCATAATTTATTAATCTTTACATAAATTTCTATGGCAAAGAAAACAATGTTCTTGCAACATTGGTGCTGAGTTATTTGGTCAGAACTGCTAAAGTATATTTCATTGAACTTGTTCATAAATAAATAAGAATTTGACTATGTACAGTCATTTCTGTAAAATCCAATAATCATACAAATCAAGAAATTTTCGTTCCATCCGTCTTCAGAATCTTTTCATCGGATACCATTCTCCAAATCCTTCATCAAAAACGTCTTCATCAAATCCTCTTGAATCTACCTCTGGAAATGTCCTCCTTGGTCTGTCGCTATCTTCTTGCTCAGCTGTTGGCAGTCTTCGAATTCGTTCAAAGACAACTTGATACACAGTGTAGTCACTATCTGTGCCTATAAGACCGTTGGGACCTGACGAGATGATGGTAAATCCACTATTGGTATAGGGATTTTCTTCGGTATCTGAATATGGTAGACTAGCTGAGGATGCCATTGATAGTAAACACAGCCCAAGGACGATGGAATAGCAAAGCAGTAGCCCCACGTTCATTTCTTCTGAAAGCATAACATAAAAGTGGTATTATTATGTAAAATAGCCAAACATGCGCTTACACAAAGAATACTTCAAGTATATCATTCGCAGTAGCAAAATAAAGACAGGGTTGCTTATTTCCTAAAGTTTCAGTAATAGATAAAACTTTAGGACAAGCTTCTATCTAAACTAATTTATTTAATAATAACCATTAACTTAACGAAAGTTTTTTTTAAACTTAAACTTAATTTAACTCTATTCGAATAGCTATAACTTATCGGCATATTCATTCGGATAGCTGAAAAGCTTCGGCAAATCTTATAAAACTGTGATATACCCTATGAAATGTTTCAATATAATAAGCAGTATAGCAGCACGTAAAAAGATGTATAATATTTATTTACGTGTGACCATGCTGTGCATTCTTTATAGGCACAGGGACCCACCAGCAGCCGAGCGATAAAATAGCTGAGTACTGGTATTTCCGAACTGAGTTCGAATCTAGGCAAACGGGCTGGCTGCATGGGCGTTTTCATGGTTTTTCCCGTGTGTGACGTGTATATGAGCCAGTTTCCTATAGAAAGTCCTCCACGAAAGCATCCTTAAGTAGAGAGCCCTAGTGTGCTTTTCCGTAAAGAACTAAACTCAAACCAAACATTTTAGACACAGAAATCGCAAATTTATTGAATCAGAATGCTTTGCTACTTTATAACTGTACTAAGGATTTAAATTTTGTATTTTCTCCCTCCTTCCAGCATGCCTTCGTAGTGTAATTGGAAGCACACTCGGTACGTATTCGAGAGATCCATGTTCGAGTCCCGGCGAGAGCATTGCTCATTTTTCATGTTTCTTGCAATAAAAAAAATCCTAATGTCTCCACAGTGGCGCTCGAACTAAAAGTTGGTGGATGATGATTCTTCATCACCAAGATTTGGCGATTGGGTCCGTTAATAGCCAGTCACTTTTTAGAAGGGGTAGTATATAAAGTATTTTCTCTCTCCTTCCAGCATGCCTTCGTGGTGTAACAGTTAGCACACTCGGTGCGTATTCGAAAGGTCCAGGTTCGAATCCCGGGCATTGCTCGTTTTTCACGTCTCCGGCATCAAAATAACCTAATGGCTCAACAGGCTCATAAACGTAAAATTTATTTTAATTTTCCTATTTTTCTTGGTCGTTTTGAAGAGTTGGTATAATTTCTTCATCATTTAAAAATTTGGTATGGAGGATCAATTGCGTGAAAAAAATTGTTAACCATTTATTGATTCTATTTTTATTGCATGTACATGAGATTTCTTCTACTTTCCTTATTATCATTCTCTTTCTATTGTTACATGAATATTATATTTCTCACATGCACGATCACTTATCTAACCTTGCTTTATCTTATCTAATTGTTTCAACATGGGATTTAAATTTGAAATTGGAATATCCAAACAACTTTTGATAGATGTATTTTGAAAGATCGGCATTTTATATTACCGAGAAAAACATTTTGTAAGTCCTGTGATTTGCGAAAGGCAATTCAATAAATTAATTTTACAGAGGGTCATTCAAACTTTATGGAAAAGATTTTTCTGTTTGAACTTTCTCTTTAAAATTTTGAAATAAAAATTGAGAATTTTCAATACAATCGTCTGCTACTGTTTTGTTTTGATTAAAATGCAGAAGAAGTTTAAAACTGAAAGATGGCTCGACATAATAGTCACAAAATGAGACCACATAGCACAAAAACATCCTTGGGATATCCCGAGGATGTTGCTCGCGGGATATGCGCACATCCTCAGGACATCCCGGAATATCCCGCGAACCTCCTAAACACCTCCTCCCGAGTGCTTAATGTAACATCCCGGGATATCCTCAGGACATCCTAACTAAGTCCCATTGACAGCGTGCGGGATGTTATTAGGATATGAACTCCTACATGCTACATCCTCAGGACATCCCGGGATATCCCACTAACCTCCTAAACACATCCCATTATATCCTAAAAACATCCTATCTATGTCCCATCGACAGCGTATGGGATGTTATTAGGATTTAAAGTCCTACTTACTACATCCTCAGGACATCCCGTAATAACCCAGTTTCCTCCTAAACTCATCCTCCCTAGTGCTTAATGTCACATCCCAGTATATCCTTAGGACATCCTATCTAGGTCCCACCGACAGCGTATGGGATGTTATCAGGATTTGAAATACTAGTTACAATATCCCTTTAACCTCTTAAATACATACTCTCAACTGCTTAATGTTACATCCCAGTATATCCCCAGAAATCTTCTTTATATTCCAGTGAAAGTGTGTGAAGGTGTTGTGATAACCTGAAACTTGCTTATTTTCCACAGACAGTCTCAGGTCCTCCATCTGTGGTTACTATGGAAAAATAAGAAATGTTTAAGAATATTTATACAATTTATTTTCTAATTTGAATTTCAATTTATTTAATAATTTGTAAATATATCTAAAACTGAGCAAGAGACTTGAAATGAATTATTAATACAAAATATTATAAGAGAAAATTTTGCTTTAAAGTATTAAAAATCTTTCGATCATTTTTAACCATTCAATAGCCCAAAACTGAATTCTTCGATATATTCATAATTAAATTATTCTACAAATTCAGTTCTGACTTCAGTTAATTTGTATTCAAAATTCAATAATAAAATTAAGCATTTAATAACCTTTAAGTAGTGGACCAGATGTGTGTAAATTTTGAAATTCTGAACTTAAGTCGGTTATGTTGATTGAATCATTATTCATGGCTACAATATGATTAAACAGTTCATGAGTTCGTCTTGCTATTTGCTGTAATGGAGCGGAAGATTTTCTAATCAATTTTTTAATAGAAGATATATAGCTTTCAAATTTAAATGCACTGTAATTATCTAACGGCCCAAACATTTTTACATCTTCGCAAATATGCAGTAGGCCGTGAACATTATGAGCAATATACTGTTTTTCATAATAAAGCCCAAAATTTACTACGAAGAGTTTTAATAGAGACTGTGCGTATTCATCAATTGCCGTCTGATTCTGTATTTTACATAAGAGTCTAATCGAAATATGAAGTAGTAAAAAATGATCATGTAGCTTTTTGTTAAATTAAAAAAAAAAAATAAATAAAAAATAAGTGGGCTAGTGTACAGTAAAAATTGACGGTATTCTGTAGCTTTCCAGTGTTTCAATTCTTTTAGAGTTGGTTCCTTTGGTTTTCTTGCAAATTCAATTGGTACATAAGGCTTTAAAAACTGGTCATTTAAAAAAAAAAAAAAAAATTAGTTCAACATTTTTTATGTGGTAATCGTGCTTGTAAGGTGCCTCCGCCTATCCTAATAGTAATCATTTTTTGTACTACTCCTAAGCACACAAGGGACATAAAGTCTAACGGAATATTTATTAGTCCTATATTTGGAATATTCCTTAAAATGGGATAATCGTTTTGGTAATCGTCATCAGTCAGTTCTTCTTGAGACATAAAAGTTCATATTTCGAATCACAGTTTGAAATGGAACTTAAAGAATATTTGCTAGCGCGAAAATTCGACACAGTCCTTTTTCATAATTAAATACTACTTCATCTTCTGACGAATCCGATAATATACGTTGATTTATTCTGCTGTAAATCCGTCTTTTAGATATCTGAGATAATTTTTTTTTAGTTCTGATCATTTTTGTAGAATAAAGGAAACATTTAGAAACTTACTTTTCACACTCTGTCAATGTAACGCTTGCTTGCAAGCGTCAGCAAGTCAGTTCGTAACTGAAAGAGAATTTGGAACGACGGCTATTAACGTTTAGCAGAATAGCTGAATTCTGGAAATCAGAAAGTAAGTACGTGTACTTTCCACTTTGTGGGGTTCTTCAAGGATATCACTATTACGGAGCAATTAAAACCGTTGGGGGCGTTTTGCGACTTTGTTGTGAAGGGGAAGGGATGTGAAGGGATGTTTTCCCTTGTAGGGGATACAAAAGAAGGGAAGGTCTGACACATAAATCTGCCACGTTAACAAAAGAGAAATCTTCTTGGGGCATCGGCTACAGAAAAAGTGCTCAGAGGTGTTACATTCTGAGCGGAGCTCGGTTTCTTTGCAATTAGAACTGAGTTTAGAGCAATGGCAATTGAACAATTACCGCATATGGGACGAGCAATTCTCTCTGAACTTGTATTTAAGATTGAAAGAGAGAAAGGAGTTGTTGAGGCGAATTCCGGAACGCATTGCGTTTATGGAATCGGAAGGTTGGAAGACAATCAGCCGGAAACATAATTTCCAGGGCTTGGGAAGGTAATATTAGGTAATACGGACAGCCGCAGTTAGCTAATGCCTTGGGGTGAGCGAGGGGGGAAGATCTTACGACTAAAACTGAATAGGAAGAAGGAGCGAAGAGGAGGGGGGGAGAGTCTATTCAGGAAGGCGAAAAGTTCTCCGACCGCCCGTGGCGAGAGGGAATAAGCTAAGCGGAAAGAACCGTAAAAGTTAACTGTGAAAAGACTTATTAGATGAGGATTTAAAGGGACAGAAATAGAGCGGAAGGGAGTAAGGGGAATTAAGGAGCGAGATTTAATTTAATTATTGAAAAGGTCTTGATGATTGCAAGCTGTGAATCTAAAATAAAGTTGAAAGTTGTATTTAGTAAGAGGAAGCATGCAGGAATGATTATAGAGTAGCTAGCTATTGCAATATTATTTAAGTCAAATTTAATGAATTTAATAGTAGTTTAATCTATTGGTGCTATTTTAATAATTTACTTTAATTTATAAGTCTGGTCCGTGAATGTGAAAAGGTGAGGTCCTGATAATGGGGGGAGGTCATGTTTATGGTACAGATTGGGTCGCGGTAACGAGGCCAGATTTGTCTGGCGGGCAGTGATAAAAAGAGGGTTACGCCGGTTAGGCCCGTGAAGTCTGGTTAAAGTTAGTTTTAAAATTAGAAAGAATCCTAGTTAAGCACCTCCGCTTAAGGATGTTAAATGTTCTATCAAGACGCTTAAAGAGCTAAATCGGAGCTCGGTTTCTCAAAAGCAAAG